AAGTAATTACGATACTGATGTGACATGATATAATAATAATTTTAGTCCTCAAAATCTTATACATTTTATCTTTTTACTCCTAATATTTGGGGGCATAACAATAAAATTTTCCCTCCAACGTGTGCTTAAATTATCACTTTGACCCATATTTTTTTTTAGTATTTTAGCTCATCAACGTTTTTATTTCTATTCAAAATAACACATGTTGGATAAAAATCGCTAGTTGATTAATGGTCAATACATGTTGCTGACATAGTATTTCTATATGCGCTTAATTGTTGATGCATCACACGACATGTCACCAAAGTGTTGAAGTGGTATGTGTCACATTACTCAAAGTGATAACGTGGCATGCACTATGTTACCCAGAGTGATGATGTGAAAATGCCACGTCAACATGCGTTGGTCGTTATTCAACTGACGATTTCTATCCAATAGAGACTATTTTGACCAAAAATTGAAACGTTAAGGAAAAATACTTAAAAAATAGGGACCGGTGTGACTATTAAAATGAATATCAGGGACTAGTTTTGTCATTATGTCATCATGGGGTTTAAGTTTTAGTCTTACAAAATTACACATTCTTTTTTACCCCATTTTTGGGTTTTCAATTTTAGCCTTTAGTAACAATTTAGGATTTCAATGGAGTTGTAGGTGTGAGAATTTAGTGTTTTAGTTAACCCTTTTCTCATGCTTATTTGTATAATATGGCAGTACCTTCATAAGAAGACGCGCTTAATTGGATGCTTAGCATGCAAGCTTCCAGGGTACAAAATCATTCCCCACTATACATGGATTAGCACACACAGACAAACAGACACTGAAATTAGTGAAAGAAAATCAGAAAGAATACTCGTGCTGCCAGAATCTTCAATCCGCTGCACTGAAATTATTAGATGTATTAAAAGCTATTAGATGATGTAGTAATATTTTAGTTTTACGTTGGTTAATATTTATATATATTATAAAATTAAATTATTTTATACACTTCAATGAACATATTTTAATAATTTAATTATGGAACTTCATATTTTATTTAAGCGATCATGCATATTGATTTTTGAGTAAATTACAAAATATCTAATTAGTTATTTAATATAAAATATTTTTCATTGTCAAATACGTATTTCATGAATTAACTTGAGTTGTGGATCTTCGAGGGCAATGGCATGAATACGATTCCAAAATCAAAATGAAGTAAGAACGAGAACCCTATATATATATATATGTATATATCCCATCAATACTATTCGTTTATGCTTGAAGCTTGCTTGCTCCTCTAAAACATTTGTTCTCTGTTATATGATACATATACATGTAGAATTAACATTAGAGTAAGGATTTTGAGCGAAAGATGAAAGAAGGAAACAACCCTGTACAGAGATTTGATTGAATAAAAGCAATTATCGACTATACGACACAGTACAATTGCCATACATACATCTTTAACTTTGATTCACCAACTGGGTGGCGGCCTTGTTTTTCAGCCTGCATGGTTATGATGTCGGAGACACGAGTTGCATGGAAATTGGCAATGAAGAGCTCTTCTGTCAATACCAGCCTCAGCAACCACCCTGAGAGTATTGTCTTCCTCACTGGCATACACATGTCTTGTGCTCCAAACATCTTCCTCCTGCTCTTTACCAGTACGATCCTTCTTAGCTTTGAAGTGATCACAACTGAAGAAGGAGAATGATTTCTTGTGTTTGGTCCCGGCCATGGCTAGATTTGTAAGATCTTGAGTTTGCAGTGCTGCTGCACTCTGGTTGGATTTGAGGGCCGCTTTGTAAGAGAGAAGAAAGGGATGATAATTGAGGACAAGTGTATGGTTTGCGGAGGTTGAAGTTGCCCTTGCCCATGTGTTGTGGTCCGTTCCATGCTTTAAGGAGGAAAAGCAGTGGTGGAGAGGGGAGTTTAATTACTACCTCATTTCTCGGGTCTTTGCCTGCATTTATTCTTCTTCTGAGAAATGAGAATTAAATCATTGCCGACTTAGATTTGATTTTTAAGAAACGCGTATATATGTTATATATATATATATATATATTGAATTATCGATTTTAATATTTTTCTAAATTTAAGTGCATTCACCCATTCTTCTGATTTTGAAAATTATGAATAATTTATGCATTATAATTTATAGAATCATGCATTGAAAAACAAAAATATCTTTAAAAAAAAGCCCCAAAACCAATACAACATAGATTTGATATTCTTTTTCAAGATTGGGATAATGTAAAGGTAAAGATCCAAACACCGGACTATATTTTTTGCATTCTGGATCATTTGTTTAGATTTGTATAAGCCTTTTTGGTTGCTGGTGTGGGGAAAGAGATGAAATAATGTTTTAATTTTGGGTAGGTGAAACTTTATTATAATTAGAAACAGGTGCAACAACAAACAAAGAGTCACTGATTAAATAACTCAGAGAAAGTTGTGTTCATAATATTTGTACAACTCAAAGAATAGATTTATTTAGGTGTCTATCCAGTATTTATAATTCTTATCGCCTTAAACTCCTTTTTTAAATATAAGAATGATTCAATAGAGTCTTTCAACCGTCATTAAACTCCTTTTCTCTTGTAAATTTGTAACTCTAATTTAGGGTTGTACGGACTGGTAAGGCGTGCCCATTCCTTAATTGCAGACTTCTTCTGCGATAGCTCAGGATGAATAATTTATCCCCACGCCTTATGCGAAACCTCATCTGGTCTTCGAATATCCCAATTTTTTCGGGTTTTCGGATAATCTGAACATGGTTTTTTTTCTATCCGTATATGATCCGATAATCAGGAAAAAATTTCGGATACCCGATCCGAACTATCCGAAGATTTGAAAAGCGGATCGAATATCTGAATTTTTGGATCGGATCAATGGATCGGATTTTTTTGCACACCCCTAGCTGTCAGGCGGATCTAGTCGGGTACGTCTCCAGTTGGGTAGTGGGTGTGGGGATGAATTTGAGAATGTACTCGCGTAGGCGAGTGTGGATTTGAAAATTTTTACTCATCATTAATGGTGGGCGAGTGATGAATTAAAAAATATTAAGTGGGTATGAGAATGGAGAAGAGATATCCCGACCCGCCCGTTTGCCATCCATGTGTACGGCACTATTTGAGTGTGGTGTGAAGGTGCAGGTGGGTTGGGTTCGAATAATAAGGTGGGTCGTGATTCAAGAACTTAGTTTCTATGCCATGGTCCATGATACAAACATAGATGTGCTAGTAAATTTGTCGGCCCTAATGTAGTATTTGCTTTTGTTTGGTTGATTGATCTGAATTGGCCGAGGAGACTTAATGGTGGATGTGTTAGTTGTTGGGTCCATGTATGTTGAAGGTAGTCAAAGCTTGCAGATATTGTTACTCATGTTCTCACGTGTTCACATGAAGTCATGGGAAATTTTCAGTTGAGGCATCCTAATATATGATTAATATTCGGTTAAAGAAAATATATTACCATAAATATTATTATTTTTTTTAATATTTTCGATAAAACGTTACCTAAAATATTATTTATTCTACCAGAATGTTAAAATTAGGTGTCATCTAAACATTATTTTTTATATCAGAAATGTTAATATTAGATGTTACCTAAAACATTATTTTTTCTATCATAAATTAACTAGCGAAATTATATTTTTGGTAGAACAAATAATATTTTAGATAGCGATTCACCAAAAATATTAAAAAATAATAATATTTCTGGTATCCTTAGTCATATATTAGGTTGCCGTACAACCGAACGACCCTCATTCTTTAGCTTTTTAACAATGTAACATATAAATGGTTTTGAATGAGATTTTTTTAATTAATTAGTGATGTATAATCTATTAATTAATTAATTAAAATTGAGTTTTACAATGATTTATTATAAGATGATATTTCTAGCTTAATTTACTTTATTCATTCGTAATTTTCATAATTTAAACTTTTCATCTTACCAAAATAATTTAGTTGAATGAATATAATTTAATATTTCTTCTCTTCTCGTCAATGTATAAATGATGGAAAAAGATTGAAATTTGTATAAAAAATATATTAAATAAATGGGTAAAATATATAAACATCCTCTTGACTATATTAAATTGTTTTGTTGAGTCTTTGACTATTAGAATTTATAAAATAACCTCTAACTATGGGGTGTTGCTTTATTTAGTATTTTGACTATTAAAAATTGTAAAGTGATCATCTAACTATTCATATGTTTCAAAATAATCATTTTTTATTAAAGAATTGATTGTCATTTGAGTTGGGCGTTAACATAATTTTTGTGATATAATAGTCATTTGAGATTATGACATCACATTTTAATATATCTCAATCATTAGGTTAACATCCAATTTAGATTGTCGTAGAATTTTTAATGAAAAATGACGAGTTTGAAATATATAAATAGTCGGATGACCATTTTGTAACTTATAATCAAAATACTCAACAAAATAACATATTATAATAAGAGGATCACTTTATAGTTTTTAATAACTAATAGACTCAACAAAATAATATCTTATAATTAAAAAATTATTTATGTATTTTACCCTAAATAAATAAGTAAATTTTACCCAATAGATTTATATATAAAAAAAAGGCAAACATTTTAATAACTTGGCAGATAAGACTGTAAGAGAGGAGTTGCCTAATGAAGATCAGCCCAGAATTATCATGAAAAAGGAAATGGAACAGCTCATGCTCAATCAGATCAAGGGACAGTAAAGACAAAAACAGATCCAACGGGTGAGAAAAAGAGAAAGATCCACGCGGCAGGAATCCCTGACGAACACCAAAAAGTTTGGATTCGCCGCGCTAGCCTTTAGTCTTTAGAGTGGGAAACTAAAAAATTAATAAATGTAAACAGTCAAAGTGTCAAATCTCGAAAAGGAATCCTCCTCAAGACAAAACACAGCTTAGGATTTTGTCATTAATCACAAAACCCCAGGTTCGGAAATCCGAACCAAACATAATCCATCAATTAATAAAATTTGGAAACAATTAATCACCTTCTATCTGCCCTTAATCTTCGCTCCGTCGCAAACAAAATCCAGACGCAGATCACAACAAGCTTTACCTTAGATTCAAATCCCAAATCAAGATTAACAACATCCACGGAAAAGAAGAAGAAGAGGAAGTGAAGCTGCTTCTATGGGTAATTAGTTCGAAAAGATTTTCTTTTTATGTTTTTTCCTCTTTGGCTTTTCTCTCTTTACGAGTTTTTTTGAATAAGGATTTTTTTGTTTCTATCTTTCTTTCCACTTTCCCCAGAAAATGTTCTCTTTCTACTTTCAAATTTTGAATTTTCTCATTTTTTTTGTCAAATTGTAAACGAGAAAGCTGTCTCTGTCTCTTTCTCTCTCTCTGTCTTCTATAAATGATATACGAAGAATTCGGTGATAGATAGTTATGGTTGTGACTTACAACAACTCTACATCTCCACCTGCTTTACTGCCATTTCATAACTATTTACCCTTCTCTTTGCTTTGACCAGATTCATTTCTTCCAGATTTCTCATCATCCACTTCAAATTCCCTTTTCACTGTTTCGAAGTTACCCCCTCTGTTATATATAAAATTTTGCTTCGATCTTGCGAGTATTCTTAGTATTTATTTCAAACTTGTTTCTTGGGTCCGTCTTAACATGCAGACATATCAGGGAGATACCTTTCATTACTGCAAGCAAAGAATAGGAACCTGCTTCTGAGCCACTAGTTTTTTTCTATCTCCTTCAAAGCTATTGCATTCACGATCAGATCTTTTATCCAAGGCATCATATTCGCCCTGTGATCACGAAGGTATTGTCCCTGGTAGCAGTACTTACCGCCGGATCAAGAACGTGTTATCCTGATGTCATCCGTGTCGTCCTCATCGCCCAGGGATTTTGATCCTTTGTTGAAGGATTTGAATGAGAAGAAACAAAGTTTCCGGCGTAACGTGGTGTCGCTTGCGGCGGAGTTGAAGGAGGTTAGGAGCCGTTTGGCGTCGCAAGAACAGTCATTCATTCAAGAAACCCTAACAAGACAGGCATGCCTTCTTTTCCGTGTCCCTTTGTGTTAACTTTCTGTTTTTCATCTGAATCTCTCTCTTTTTGGGTCTTTTGTTTGTGGGGTCAACTGGAATTTGTTTGCTAATAAACTTGGTTCAGGAAGCAGAAACAAAGGCGAAGCATATGGAGGAGGAGATTTTTAAATTGCAGAAGAGGTTAGAGGAGAGAAATGGCGAGCTTCAAGCATCAGGCTCAGCTGCTGAAAAGGTCCACCTAAATCCCGGTTCTTGAACTTTTTATCATTTTCTTTGCTGATTAATTAACTTCATAATATCATGATTACGTTTTACTTTCCCTTGTTAATTCATAGTTCGGAAAGAACCCATCATGCCCCAATGATTGAATTAGCTGCTATGTTTGTTGATCTGTCTAAATGAATCTTTTTTTTCTTTTGTATCTTTGCCTTTTAAAGTTGTTAATTATCCACACATATTTTGTCATTTCTTTGGGCTTTTCCTCTTTAGTTATTTCTTGGGGAGCCCATCAAAGTACACAAGACCAAGCCTTTTTTCATCTTATTTTGATGCCATCTCTTTTTTTGAACTTCGAGTTGGGCAATTTTTCTAAAAGCTAGGTTGGTCATGAAATTGAACTCTGCATATTTTGCTAAGTTATATAAATTTACTTATTTCATGCATTATTGATGAGATTCTCTTCTTAATTTCTGATTTACTTGTTTAACTCCAGGAATGTGTATAATTAAGCATTATACATTATGGTACTATTCTTACATAATTGTTAAGTTCTATTTATTTTATATTTGAATAATATGCTAAATGATCAAACCTCATGTTAAATGATGCCTAACTAAATATTGCACCAATTTTGGCCTTTTCTGGTAGTCTCTGTACCAATTAGATAATAAATATACATATCTTGGTAACTTCCAACTTTAGAGAGCTGTTTTTTTACACTGTCAGGTCATAATTGGATTTTCACTTGATCATTCTTAAAGAAGCACGAGATGTTTGTCCAGATAGAGAAGTATACCATCTTGTGTGAATGAAGGGTGATAACACCGCCATGTTACTTCCCTCTTGGATGGTTATGTGGACACCTTAGGCTTGTGTTTATAATCTTGTTTCTAGTTCTTCATCTATTTTAGCTTTCATGTTAAGTGTGTCCTTTGGCTTTGCTGTTTCAATGGTTTTCCCCTTTTTTATCATGTTTGGCCTAATCCACTTGTATGATTCTGATATGACTTTGTTATGTGCCTCTCAGTACCTTAGCGAATTGGATGATCTTAGATTGCAGCTTACAGCCACTCAAGCCACTGCTGATGCAAGTGCAGCATCAGCTCAGTCGGCACAAGTGCAGTGTTTAGCATTGTTAAAGGAGTTGGACAATAAGAATAGTTCATTGAAAGAGCATGAGGATCGTGTAACTAGGTTAGGAGAGCAACTAGATAACTTGCAGAAGGATCTCCAAGCAAGGGAATGTTCCCAAAAGCTGCTGAAAGATGAGGTCTTGAGAATTGAACATGATATCATGCAAGCTGTTGCTAAGGCTGGAGCAAATAAAGACTGTGAGCTCAGGAAACTTTTGGATGAGGTTTCTCCCAGGAATTTTGAAAAGATAAATAAGCTTTTGACCTCCAAGGATGAAGAGATAGCCAAATTGAAAGATGAAATCAGGATTATGTCAGCTCACTGGAAGCTCAAAACCAAAGAATTGGAATCACAGGTATTTTTATGTGTATGCATTAGTATAAGATATTATTTTATAATATAATATTTAATTTTTTTTATGATCATTTATCTGTTTTATGGAGCAGTTAGAGAAACAGCGACGAGCCGATCAGGAACTAAAAAAGAGGGTATTGAAGCTGGAATTTTGTCTTCAGGAAGCTCGTTCTCAGACACGAAAACTCCAAAGGGTAATGTTAATATATCACTTCATTCGAAAAGTCGGGTTTTGTGATTGTCTGCTGCTGAAATGCTTGGATTGCTAATTTGTTTCCAAGTTCTTTAGTTCTCCTACTAGTAAATGGCTTCCGGCACACTTTTCATTGTGTAAATAATGGTTGAAGCCTGTAGTTTTTCATTTTAATCAGTCATTTTAGAAGTCAATTTCAATTGTGTGTTATTCAGTGAGCTCATCCTACTAATTTTGTCAGATGGGAGAGCGCAGGGACAAAGCACTAAAGGAGCTTAGAGATCAGCTGGCTGCCAAACAACAATCTGCAGCAGCTGTTGGTTCTGAGAAACAGAATTTCTGGGAAACTTCTGGTTTCAAGATTGTAGTCTCCATGTCAATGTTAATCTTGGTAGTGTTTTCAAAGCGGTAATTTCAATTAGTTACGTAGTTAGTGTGTATAATGAAATACCTTAAGAGGATTTAGGAAGGCCATAAAACCATTGCCTTTGTAGAAAGGAAAGGCTTGTAGATGTAGTACAGTAAGTACGTTTCCCAGAATTAGTTGAAATGCCTGTCTTGTTTATTCTCAAAATCGAGTGAGATTGAGGTGACATTAGTGTTACGGCAACATGCATGACTTTTTTTTTCTTCTTCCGTTTACATTTTGGATTATTACCTTTTCCGACCACCATCATGATGAGAAAAAAAAACATTTACCAATTCTGTGTTGCGGACTTTACACAATGATATGAAGTAGGAACTAGTAAGTAATTGTATCCTGGTATCTTGATAAGTTTACATCTTAACATGCATTAGTTCCCTGTTATTGAAGTCGAGATGTTTGATACAACCTGGTTAACTACCGGTTGTCCTCGGCATTGCCATCCGTGATCTGTCTTATGATTCATTTCCGACATTCTGAAATGGGCAGGTAAAGATGGTTGTGGTTTAGTTTGGACAATCAGATCAAATGGTCACCTATTTCTTCATTAAATTTTGATAAATCTAGCTGCACACGGGGATCATGATACTTTAATGTTAAAAGTAATAGAAATAGCTTGTTAAATATTAATATATACATTTATAACGACGATAGTATCCCGAGTAGCCTGCCTTGCATAGCCATCCAAACACAACATTTGGAATCATTTTAACCCATAAAGTGTGTCCAGTTGTGGTTAGTTAAGATCCATGTCTATATACATCCTAAAATCCACTTCAAAAGCAGTAATCATTCACGAGCAAATCCCCGAAGAAGGGATCGGAAATTGCTTCTTTAGCTGAATTGTATTTGTCCAGGCGCTTCTTCAAAGACCACGTCTCTCTCATTCTTTTTAGATCGTACCCGAATCACCATTTTTGTCAAATAAACACGACATCAAGGACTCGACGATTCTTTCCGATAATCAACCATGCAAAAAAGCGCAGATTGGCGACATTTTTCATTGAACTATTATAGGATGAAAATCACTTGCATATTTCTTTTTCAGCAGCAATATATCCACCAAGTATATCAACCATAAAACACTTGTTCTGGGAAAACTGTGCTGCAACAAAAATCAACTATAAAAAAATATGTGGTTTAATTAAAGGGACCGAAAGTATGTCAAAGAGAAACTGGGAAAAAAATGCTAGCAATCCCTCATTTTTTTAAACTTCAATGGATTAATCAATTTCTTTATTTAGTGTATGGTATAGGGTATTCATGAGTTGATTGTACAGCCGAAACTTGATTGTACAAGTTAACTTGCTTTAGTTGGGAACAAGATCACTATTCACTACTACTTTCATCTTAAGCACTTGAATAAACAGTAGTAATAAGAAGCCTAAAGCAAACTACAACAGATTAAGAACTGTTAATGGCAACTGAAAAACCAAGAAATAGAACGGATGTTTTACAAGAAGGCCACCACCTAAGCAAGGTTCATTTCATTCAATGAAAATAAGGTGGGGGTGGATAGTAAAACAGTTCAAGGCTAGAATTGATGAAACAAGCAAAGTGGCTTATTCTCAGATGTGAAGAGATTGGAAAAGTACCTTCCTTCCCAGTAATCTTCTGTAACCTCCTCCATTTTTCTATATGTTTCGCATTTCATAATTCATTAGTGCATCAGTTTTGCTACATTGGATGTGAATGCATTTTATAATGTAACCGTGAATGGAGATTCATAGCTTGTTTCTGTTTCTTACTTGTGTATCTCCTTTTGGGCCTCTGAAAAGATAAGGGTCCTTTGACAGATTCAAAAAATAGTATGGAATCATCTGTACACCAAAGCCATTAGAATTTTTTTTTTCTCACGAAACTTCTGATGTAGCAAAATTTTGGGAAGGAATAAAAGAAAGAAACAGAGGAAACCTAACCAGTGTTTAATCTTGACGGTGTAAAATCAATTATCGACACCGATAATCCATATGTCCTGAAGGATATTTGTTTGCCCTCTAAAATAAACTTCATAGAGACACAATCATTGCGGGTCAAAAGTATGTTTCCCCTATAAAGATTGAGAAAAAACCATTAATCACCAATCAGAGCCAAGACAAAAATTTTATATAAAAAAATGTGACAGCAAGCAGACCAATGCAAGTCACGGTGTTCAAACTCATATGCAGCTTCACCCACAGCCAGGGCGGCCGTAACCTGCCAGACAATTGATAAGTCCACTGTGAGCTGGTAGTAACAGATAAAATAATCCATCAAGCAAGACTTGATTTTTTTCACTAGAAAATTGCTTTCCAAATTTGTATTTCGTATCACAATAGTCTTTGATTTACCTGAGCCAATACACTTCGCGCTTCATTAAAATTCTCAAGTTCAAAACTTTCAAGATCTGTACCACCATGTTGTAGAACAAACACGAGAAAGCGCTGGATGCAAGTTCGTCAGGGTCAACAAAAGAATATTGGAACACAATAAGTATTTGTACTTTGGGCCATATGTTTTGGAGTTCCCTATAAATGCGGTATTCATAAAGTATTTATTTATAACTTTCTCGTGTACTCATATTCATCGCGACAAAGAGATAAACTGTTTCTCAGGGAACACTTTGGGGTGATCATTTTCTGAGCCATTCTTTTCATCCCATTTTTCTCAAGCACTAATCAATGCTGCATCATACCAACCTCGGCAAACCTTTAAACTATCAAGATATTTCGGGGACAGGGGCTATCAGTCCGGCGAACAGTGGACGGCTTTCGTAGATAATCTCAGCAAAAGAGTGTCGAGTGGTGCTTTGAGGGAAGTTTTCAATCAGTATGGGAGAGTGGTTCAAGCTTTCAATCCGAGAAACATTAAGAATCCAAAGTATAAGGATTTCAACTTTGTTTTTGTTCGGTTTGCTACAAAGAATGATTTGGAGAATGGTATAAGGGCAGGCCCATCCCTTAGCATGGGCGAAAGGGGCACTCGTCTAGGCCTCACTTACTCAGGAACTAAACTATAAATTTATATATAATTAAAAATAATAAATTATTTATTTAGTCACTCACTTGTTATTTTATTTTCATTTTGATCATTTAATTATTATTTTTCTTTAAAATCATATTTAACATTACATTTTGTTTCTTTTTTGTTACTCATTGTTAAAAAACTAACAGTGATGCTAAATTGACATTTTTAAATTATGTTTTTTACATTTCACTTAATTATTCTTTAATTCATTCTTTTGTAATATTTGTTATTAGGGTCCTAATTTTTATATTCACCACATGCCACTAAAATCTCAGAAACAGACTTATATAAGGGTGATGAACAATGCTAAGATCGATTATAGAGCTATCTCGGTCTCGAGAGCAATGTTCCCTAGACAGTCTTTGGCGAGTGTAAAAGCTAATTGAATGGTGGGCTTAGAGGAGAAGCAGAGTGAGCTTGCGAATCAACAAAAGAGCATAAAGGTATGGATATCCAAAGAAAAAAGATTATAGCTCATACGCAGAGGCTCTATAAGGAAAAAAATGAGGCAAGTGGTTAACCGCTCAAAGAAGTTCAGGGAGCAGAAGTAATGGTTGGTCCACACTTTAGCAAAAATCAAAAGGCAGAGGAAAAGGAAAATGAGTCCAATGTTTTGGAGTTTCAGATTTCTTCAGAGGAGGTGGAATGGATAAAGAGTTCATTAGTAGGAATGATTCATGAGAATTTTATTTTGATCTAGTGCAGAGAGCTCTAGAAGAAGAGGGTATCAATGCCAAGCTTGCCAAATGGGGAAATTCGAAGAATTCTTGTATCTTGACGTTTAGTTTAATGGAGGATTTGGAGGAATCTTAGGAAATAAATGAGGATGGATGGGATTAATGGTTAAAACATATTGCTCCCATTTACGACAAGTCTGGATTTGCTTCAACCTTCTACTCTTGTGTTTTGATTGGAGTTTCCTTACATCTATGGCATCATAATTTCTTTTCGGCCTCGGGTAACAAATGGGGATCTTTTGTTGAACTGGAGGAATCGACAAGAGAAATGGAGGATTTTTCTTTGGTAAGAATGGTAGTCAGGGTGGCGTGCAGGTTCGATATTTTAGAGTCGATTAGAATCTGGTCTAAAGGGAGAGATTTTGTTATCAAAGTGGAGGTTCCTGAGACTGAGTGTGGATTCTCAAAATTTGGTTTTGTGGAAAAATGGGAAGTTTATTGATGTTTAGGCTCTAGAAGATTTTTCTGACTATGCTATCGCTGGCGCTGATAATGGTTTCGGTAATGGGATCGGTTCTCCGGTGAGAGTTGATGTGTCATCGAAGAGTCAACCTCGGTTGGAGGATGTTTTTTTTGGTGACGCTTCGGTCTCCAAAAAGGTTAGAGGCATGTTGGCGATGAGTCTCAGAATCGAGAAGGATGATAACTTGTTCGTGCAAAGTGGATGCAATAATTTTAATGTGGGTGTCGGGAGTGAGGTAGGGGTTTCGGCTATAGAAAGTTTAAGTGAGTATTGTCGAAAAAAATTAAATGGTGGTAAGATGTTGTCAGTTGAGGTAGATTCTAATCCCTTGGTTGATGGGCCTATAGACCAGTGTGTTTCTTTATATGGGACGAGTAATTATAATGATATTTGTGGATATGAATGGGGATGAAGTTGATGGATTGAAGTTGGTTGTTAGGATGTTAATGGTGCTGACTTTTAAGGGCCAAAAGAATATGTTAATTTTTTGGTAGAGGAGGCAACTTAAAAGCAGTGTTCGGGTTCTGTTGAGTGTGTTCCAGAAAGTCTTCTCTCTTTAAACTCGAATCTAAATTTTTTTTCTTGTAGTTTCAGAGTCGATTATGATTTATAAGAGAAGGGGTACCCCAGGGTCAAGAGTTATGATAAGAAGAGTGGTTAGAAGACTTGTTAGTGAATCTCTTGAAGAAGTGGATGAACCAAGGCAAGTAGTGCACGAAGAAGGGTCTGATGATGAGATTCAAGAAGAGGTTGAAGCGGTATGGGAACTTAGTAATATGTTGCAAGTTTCTTTCAAAGGTGGAAAAGAGGCAGTGTCAGGAAAAGTAAAGGCTTTAGAGGAGGCACTCAATAGGGCATTGTGATTGTGAGAGAGGCACACAATTTGAAGTTTCTCTTTTGGTTTAAATGGATTTTGCAATAGTCACTTGGAACATCAAAGATTCGGTATGGTGGAAAAGATAAGGGTTGTGAATAAATTAATCTGCAAGACTAAAGCGAAGATGGTTTTTGTATAGGAAACAAAGTTGATTGGGGTTTTTGTGTTTATTTGTAGGAGGCTTTGGGGTTTAGGGGACTTGGAATGGATTTGTAGTTCGACAGTACAACAGGAGGTATCCTTTGTATTTGGGATTCAAAAATTTTTTATGGAGGCATCTAGAATCATTAATACAAGGTATGCTGCTATAATTGAGTCAATTCCGGGGAAGTTTTCTAGATGCGGATTTCTAAATGTTTATGGACCTTCAGTTGAAGGGGAGAATGAGGAGTTTTTTTGTGATAGGGATGATTTAATTATTAACAATTCAATTATGTGGTGTGGGGGGAGTTTAACGCATTTTTCATCCGGATGAGAAACTCAGAGTCTCCATAAATCTAAGGGTAATTAGCATTTTTAGGAGTTTTATCAGCAATGTGCCTCGGTTGACTTGCCTTTGGTAGGGGTTCTTTCACTTGGTCTAGTAATAGGGACAAAGCGACGAATGTGAGGTTGGGTCATTTTAATGTCTCTAATGATTTTTTAGCAATTTTCCCTTTGATCTCATAGAAGTGTTAATTTTAAAAGGTGCAAGGCGCACGAAGGCGCAAAGGGTCCCTGGAGCCTAGACGCAGGGCGAAGGTGCGCGCATTTCATAGGCGAGGCACACTTTTGTACTAAAAAACCTATAAATTAATTATATAACATATTGTGTACAAAAAATAACATTATATTCATATTATGAGAACTTAAATATTAAAATATTCAATACCATACACTAACAACATAAATTAATATGAAAGCGTAGTTCAAATATAAGAAAAATAAAAAAACAAAAAGTAAACATGATTGTTAAAGTCTTGAAGACTTAAAGTTTATAATTTTTTGTTTGACACACAACACAATATAACTTAAACATTAAATACTTAAGCACTCTAGTACTCCACTACTCTAAATCATACTCATCAAAACCCTTATCTCTACCATCTCCTCCATAATATTTATTTTGACCAATATCCTCTTCCATCTCATCTTCATCATCATGCACCAAAACTTTATGAGAAGAGTTAGTAGTTGCACCTTTTCCTTTATCAAATCTAGAAGATGGTATAGAAGTTTTGGCTTTGAGCCTTGATGCTCTAGTCAAATAACTAGGATCATGGGCTCCGGCAGGTCTACTAACTTGACCCCATATCAGACCATCATTCTCATCAAACACAAATTCATCTTCATCATCAAAAGAGTTGCTCTCCATTCTTCCAAGCAACGACTAATTCCTTTCATCAATACCTTCCAAGAGAATAGGGTCGATGGTGTCTTTCTTTTGATATCGAAGTCTCAAAGCATGATCATATTTCACAAAGACTAAATCATTTAATCGACCTTGTGTCAATCTGTTTCAGACTAAATCATTTAATCGACCTTGTGTCAATCTGTTTCTCTTCTTTGTATGAAGTTGCGAGAAGTAAAAATTTAAATAAATTATTAAGTAAAAGATTTATAAAATGTTATGATAGGAATAAATATGAAAAGATAGTTTCTTACAAGCTGAAAGACACCATAATTCATTTCACAACCAATAGCACTGCAAGTGAGACTAAGAACTCTAATAGTAAAATTTTGGAGGTTTACAGTTGAAGTTTCATATGCAAACCACCACTCCATTGTAAAAAAAGCAAAATATTACAAACTTATTAGTTAATAATTTAAAAAAACAAAAATGACAAAATATTATAAGTTAATACATGGAGATTTAGTTTTCTTTGTCTAATAGCCATCTGTAAACCAAAATGGCCTTGGGCATTTCGATATATCTCTAATTATGTACTAATTTTGTCTTGAATTTTAATCTACGGATTCAACCTTACAATACATTCATATAAACCTCTCATAAATTCTTCACAAGACGAAGTATTGTAATTATCATAAAAGAGCTCTGGGTTTAAAAAGTAACCGGCTGCATGCAAAGGTTGGTGAAGTTGACAATTCAATCTTTTATCGATACATTCAAATGCTTTGTTATAATTCTCCTCTTTCATTGCAAAGCTCTTATTAATAGCCTCCTTAGATCTATCCATGGCTTCGTAAATGTACCCCATAGGTGGTTTCTTCTCTCCATCAACCATTCTTAAAACCTTTACAAGAGGTCCTGTTAACTTAAGCGCGTAAAGTACATTCCTCCAAAAGGTGTCTTGTAGAATATAGGATGTCATCTTTTTCCATCATGTTTCCTTTGGCCACTTAGATTCATTTCATTCTTGTAAAGTAATCATCTTTCTCAAGTTGTTTCTTTGCTTATGGAATTGGGCAAGCATGATGAAAGATGTCGCAAATCTAGTAACCGTTGGCCTATGCAAATTTCTCTGATTTGTGAACCTCCTCATCATGTTCACAAGAGAAATGTGATTATATATGTAGCCATTCATGAACATGCACTTCTTCAGTGCATTCTTCACCTTTGGAATATCTCCAATATCCTCCAACATTAAATCGATAAAATGCGCCGTGCATGTAGTCCAATAGAGATTTGGTCTTGCGGCCATTAACAATTTCTTATAAGTTAATAAAACAATAATCAAGTAACTTGAATAACAAAAATATAAAGGAAAAAAGTAAATAATTTAAGATTCTTACCGACTTTGACATAGTTAGATGCATTATCCATTACCACTTGGACCACAATTTTCTCACCTACTTCCTCCACCATTTCATCAAGCACTTTAAACAACATGTTGGAATCCTTCACAATCTCTGAAACATCCATAGATTTAATAAACATCGAACCCTTTGGATAGTTAATAAGAAAGTTCACAATATCTTTTTGGGCCATCGAATTATGCCATCTGTCCAATAAAATTGAATACCCTTTTAGCGCCCATTCTTTTTTGTGATCCTCCATAATCTTTTGGGTGTCATCCACTTCTTTCTTAAAGAGGGGACTCTAAGCTCGTGCATACTTGGTGGTTTTAATTCGGGACCAAATTGTCCAATACTTTCACACATCTCCTTGAAGCTAGGATAATTTTCCGCATTGAATACAATTTCGACATCATAAAAAAGCCTAGCAATCGACGTACAAGTTTTCTCCCTTAATTGTTTAGCACAATTTGCATGTATACCTCCATCTTTGTTCGGATTTGCTCTAAGAGATAAAACAAACAAATTCATTGAACCCTTAAGCCTTAGTTTTTTGGGTAATTGTTTCCCACTCTTTTGACTTGAATTGTCGCCACCTGTGTTCAATATCTCAATCTCTTCTTCTTCTCTATCATAATCATCGACATCATGAAGAGATTCTTAGGACATCATCAAATTTGAGGCCTTTGCCTCAGCCTTCTTCATCATAAAATTCTTCACTTATTCCTTCACATGTTTGGGACATTTAAAGCATTTAGTTACATTTTTGAATCGTTCAACCAAATGTTGTTTCATTCGTTGTGCCCCTCATTTAGTAACCTTTTCGCAAAACTTACAAGTAAAATGTTTTTATTTGTAGGATTTGGTTTTCATATTTTCTTACCGAATCTAAATTACCCGTTGATCCACCAGTAAAAGCTGTCTTTGAGTCCATTTTTCAACAAACTGAAATTTTAAAAAAATATAAACAATGTTCAACAAATATAAATAAAAGTTTAATAATTGTTCTATAATATGATATCAACAAATATAAACAATATAAACAAACTGAAATTTAGTGAAAACATATTTTCTTTTAGTTTTGTATTGTAGCTTTGTGTTCCAAGATTACAAATATAATAAAAACTTAAAAATATCATAAGTTCCAAGATTTATAAGGTCTATTTTATATTTTAGTTTTGTGTTCTATTTGATGTAGGTATAAGCCCAACGAGGAGACTTTACTGCAAATAGATCGGTTTTGTGTCAACTTAATTACCTAATGTGACATTAGTCCAAACCGAAGGTTGTCACCTTGGTCTCGAATCTCGATTTTTAAATTTAATAAAAACAATATAAAGAATTTGTAATCTACAATCAACAAATATAAATAATATAGACAAATATTTTCTGCACTAAAACGTTTATTTAAAAAAGCCCAATATTCAACAAATATAAATAAAAATCAAATATTCAACAAATAAATAATTAACAAGTTGATTAAATTTGCAATCAACAAATAAAAATCTAAGAAATTAGGCGTTGTTTAGGTGGAAAAGAAAAATAACAGTCGCTTGGGAAGAAGAGAAGAGTAGAAGACAACTGCAGAAGAGAAGATTCAAAGATTTTGAAAAAAAAAAAAAAAAGATTAGATATTTAAAGAGGGTGAGAGACGTACCTGGATCAGAAGAAAAGACAACCAATGAGAACTGGGTAAAAATTGTGAATGATGTAGGGCTAAAAGGATTGGGCACGTTTATTATTAAATAAAAAATGGTATAACATTTATTTATTTTTACTTTAACCGCTCCACCTACGCAAGACGCAGAAGCGCCCGCACCTGCGCCGCTCCAGAAATGTGCAAAAGGCGCGCGCCCACCGTTCCTCACCTCGCCACTGCCACGGGATGCAATTTTTTCAATGCCCGGGCGCGTCTTTTAAAAATAAGGCAGAAATTACTGCCGAAATCCTTGTCGGATCACAATGCTGTAGCGTTAGAAAAGGTTAAGATCAATTGGGACCGAAAACCTTATCGTTGCTTTAATTTTTGGTTGGAGGATAGTAGTTTTATCTCTGCCGTTAAAGATGCGATTAAAGAGGTAGCTTCTGCTAATGGTAGCAAGAGGATTGCTAAGTTATTGTTTGATGAGAGAGGGGCTGTGATAGGCTGGTCGAAGAAGCAATCCTTTAAGTCTGGAATTGAAGAGCTAGAACAAGAAATCAGTAAGGTTGAATTGGATTTGCAGGAAAATGGGGAAAGTCAAATTGTTATGGCAGAATTAAGAAGCCTAAAATGTAGGCTATATCAAGGAAGAAAGATCTTGGCTATAGAAATCGAGGGTGATCGGGACACTAGTTTTTTTTCCCACAACTTTGCTTCTGCTAGGAGGCGGTGTAACTCAATGCTTTCGATGGTTCAGGATGGGAGGAGGATTGATGACCCGGCTGGCTTGAAAAGAATGATCCATTCATATTTTCAAAGTGTCTATAATAAGAAGGTTGTGTTTTCTGAGGAGGAAATATTTCAAGCTTACACTTTGTTTCTAAATTAGGGAAACAGTACTTGACATGTAATACTAATATTTTGGTGATTTTTGAGTAAAAATGTCTAAGAAAGAAATAATTTGCTATAAAAAATGGAAAATATCTTACAAAATCGATACTCAATCAAGAACACATCATGCTATATAAAGTTGTATGTTTACAGAATCTGATATATCTATACTTTTAGCATACAGTTTGTTTCTAATTAATTTCTTAGTGGAATTCAAAACTTCATCCTCCTTACTATTCGAATGACCGAAGAATTTATTGTTCTTTAATCCAAATGAGCTACGTAATAGCATTCCAAGCTAATCTAAGCAAAAGAGAGTAGTTAAAGATTTACCCTTTGGAATTTGGATAGATAATTGCCCAAATCAGCTCCTACTCCCAAGAATGCCTTCTCCTTCCCAAATTACGGCATTCGAGAGTATTTCTTTGCACGTTCCTTGAAAATACAAACTCAAATATATATATATATATATATATATATATATCTAGGGATGGCAAACGAGCGGGTCGGGTGCAGATACCCCCTCCCCCATCCCCATACCCACCTAATATTTTTCAATCCACCACCCGCCCACTACCCATGATGGGTACAAATTTTTAAATCCACACCCGCTCACGCGGGTACATTTTCAAATCTATCCCTACACCCACTACCCACTAGCGACATACCCATCTAGACCCGCCTGACAGCAAACTAATGGGATGTTGGAGTTGGTTCCTAGACAGTTCGTGATGGGGTAGCAACGCATGCTTCAATTTGTCAGAGGAGTGGCTCTACGAATGTTATGGAGACAAATTGTAGGTAGCATGTAGTCGCAGAGCTGGATTGTTGAGTTGCTTTCGATGTTAATGCTCATAGTGCGCCTAATATGGGTTTTGAGGGGCTAAAGAACATGTAAACTTCTGCTTTTGATGTTAATGCATATAGTACGGCTAATTTGTGTTTGGATGGGCAGCATGGGCTAAAGAACATGGAAAGTGACGTGGTTAGTGAGATTATGGGTTTAATCAAAGAGCCAAATATTTCCCTAATTAAAGACCAGATTAAAGACTAAATATCCTTAATATTTGGTTAAATTATATGTTATATATTATACAATATTAAAATTTATAAATTAGTCTCTAAAATTACATCTAAATTCATAATGGTCCAAAATTTAATAGATATTTTAGCTGGGCGGGCGGATGTGGGGCGGGCGGATGCGGGGAGGGCAGATGCGGGGCGGGTAATGTCTCAAACCCATTACCCGCCCACCACCCACGATGGGTACCACTTTATAAATCCACACCCGCCCACTACCCGCTAAAATTATACACATCCCCGCTCCAATTGGAGCGGATGCGGTGCGGAATCCACGAAACTGGACCCGTTTGCCATCCCTATATATCTAAACTATTTTTTTCTGTTTTAATATTTAAACTTTTATTTTTTTAAATCATACTTAACATTTAATTTTTATTCTATTTTAGTATTTGTCCGTTAAAAACTTAACACGTTTTAATACCTAAATTATATTAGTTTTAGTACTTATACTTTAATTTTCCCCCAAAGAATAACGTTAAGGTTTTAACATGGTGCTAAATGAAATAAAAACGGAACTTTAAATATGGTTTTTAAAAAATTAAAAGTTTAAGTATTAAAATAGATCTAAAGTAATAATTTACGTACTAAACATATAATTTACCCAAAAAATGATCTCTGACACAAAACACAAACCATCTACCCGTTCTCATACGACTATTGATAATGCATATATCCCTTGCAGTCGCAATCGTTTAAACTTAAATTTCTTAAATAAAATAACATTCTCTTTTACTATTAAAATCACTTAATACAGTTGCTTAAACTTAAGTTTCTTGAGGAGAACAACATTCTCTTTTACTATTAAAGTCACTCAATACAATTATTTAAACTTAAGTTTTTTTGAAGAGAACAACAATCTCTTTTACTATAAAAGTCACTTAATGAGTTCTTCCGTCGCTTCCGTTCGTGTATTGGGGATAAAACTACTTTGTTGTTTGTTTTTCCCTCATTTGACACACATATAACTACTGATGTATTTTCTTCATCGTACAAGGCTGATGTTATAATGTTTTTATTTTATGCTAATGCTAATACGTCTTCTTTTGCATGCCATCGCCTTCTTTCTTGTTATCATTACATATAGTCACATAACATTTAGTCATCAGTTAGACAACAAAGAGCTTAAATTGAACACAGTTTCACAACATTCTGGGAATCTATTCACATAAACATCAACATTCTAATTTTCAAGTACAATTGGAACAAGTATTAGGAAAAAAAAATGAAATCCATAACATTTGTCCGCTGAAATACAATTTTTCTTTCCATTCACATATGTATCAACTCCCGGACATAAAGATAAGTCGATACCGGTATGTTAACTAACACAGAGAACCAAGTACCCCCAACAAGGAAGCAGCGAATTTCATTTGGGTCTCCTCGTCTGTGGTCAAGAAGAGAGGGACATGGACAAAGAGTGATTTGATCCCATTCTGCTCTGCAAAGTGGAGTGAGTGGTAGTACACGTAATTGCACACAAACCGTCCACCATCGTCTGATGCTATTACCTCATATCCCATCTTTGCTAAGGCCTTTGTGATTTCCCCAACGGGAAGAGAAGTCTACAGAAATATAGCAGAGGAAAATCCTTAATGTTGGTGGAAAAAGATGAAGGAATATAGTATCGTATGAGATGTTAACCATGGCAATAGGGACAGCTGTACTACCTTTCATACACGTGAAATTCCGCCATCAGCAGACACAATGGGTTCTCTCTGCAAACAACATAAAAGTTCAACAATAGGATGAAAGTTTAAGTTGCATATGCACCATGAAAGGGGAAATGAGATATATCTAACCTGAGGTTTCCATCCCATCTCATTGGGCCAACGGAAAGTAGTTTCATTTACAGCTTGATGCTCAATTGCGAATCTACTTGCACCGCTATTGACTCCAAAATGTACCTGAAGAAACATTTCCAGAATTGACAACAAAATGAGTCCAGAATTTGTAAGTTGATTGCATTGAAGACAGGTTATCAAGATAGTTTCTGTTGGCAAACTCCCCTAATGAATAATGCATAAAAAATGGCCCCATTTATTTCAAGTGGAGCTCTTTACATGCTTTAAGATAGAAAAGAAAATGGCAGGAAAAAAATGGTTGACCTACGATTACCAGATTGATCAATCACATGATCACCAAACATTCACTTTCAACATGGCTTTAAGATGGCACATTATCAGCATCAATTTAAACGAGATTTTACCCATATTCTCTTTACTGAGAATAAAGGAGCATGTTAGAGTTATGCATAAAGCAGCTAGTTGAAAAGCCCTCATGCCTGCTTTATTGCAAAGCTAAAAGGAAATATTTGATAGATTATTTATTTTCCATTTCTGCAAATGTGCTTAGAATAAGAGAATTCCGACACCATGACTGAGATGCTCTTTCTTCTTTCCATCATTTACTAAGGCAGCCATGAAATTGACATGCATGCAAGAAAATTAAGCAATTTGAACACAGTAGAAAGTGAAAGCCAAGTAACTAACCCAGATAATTCTCTCAGAGCATGAAGATTGAGAATCCTTCCCTGTTAAAGCAGACTGTAATGTCCGATACAGTGGAGTGAGAGCTCCTTGTCCGGCAGTCTCGAGAACACTACAACTGCCAAGAATAACACCCTTTGGCAAACCTTTCTTTCTTGTATACTCTTTTAGATTACTAACAATGGTATCAGTTGGATTCTCTGAAACTCCATGAAATTTCTTAAAACCAGTCACATGGATAGTTACTGCTGCTGGCCCTTCTGAACCCATCAATCAACAATTCAAGTGATACCGATTACCGAGAAAGTTTTATCCCAATAAAACTGATATATAGTTATCTACCTATGTACCTGCATGAAGCACAAGAGAACTCAAGTAACCAATGCCACAAGGAACATACAAAACCAGATGAAACCAGAATCTACAACCTCGTCCTGGTTTCAAATTCAAAGAACTTTCACGGTCAACGAATTTACAATTCATTACTGCAAATTTTTTGCATACCCTATATAATTCTCAATAAGGATTAATCCGTAATTATAAAGTAAGTGATGGTAACAGGGCAATGAGAGCCTGAGTTTTAGCTTCAAGATGTTGAACCTATCAACAGGCCTTACAATGAAAATAATTTAGACACTAAACTTCTGCTGATTAATACATTCCTTTTTGTTTTCCAGAAGGTAACACTTCATAAAAGCTTCAAATACCCTATATATTTACAAAGACAAAGTTGAGAGTGTCTCCATAAATCTGCAGAAACTAAGCAGCTGAGAGACAAAGTTGTTAGATCAAAATTGAAAGAGCCAAAGAACATCATAATCCAGTTTCCAAAACCACAAAATGAAGAATCTAGAATCAGTTAAAATGATCTAAGACCAATAAAATTAAGAATCCAATAAACAATCACAGGCATGCCTAACAAACAAAGCCTAAATAGAAAATGGACCAAACATGCAAACTGAGAGAAGACATGAAAATAAAACCCAGAAATATACCTGGAAAGCAAAGGGAAGAAGAAGACAAATGAAATCAGAAGCTTTGGTCACCTGTAATGTTGGACGGGGGTAAAAAGAAGGCACAAGAGGAAAAGAAATGAAAAGTCACAGACAACCAGTCTTATCCAATCTAAAGTTGATTTAAATAGATAGGAAGGCTAATCTGATAAAGATTCCCACTTTCATTTTGAGAGAAAAGGAAGAAGAAAACAAATTTTAGAGTACTCAGCCAATATTATATACATATGTGGGTTTAGCTGAAGAGACGTTCAAGGTGGTGGGTGGAGTCACTTTCATTTCATCATTACATATAAATACAATGAAAACTGTATGCATCCACAGATGTATTTATATTAAATACGATCTTTTTTATAATGCTAAAAAATGCGATATTTTAATGAGAAAATAACCTCAGTGACCAAAAATCCCATATA